ATGATGATATTCAGCAGCGTAACGATGAACAACAGCGTGAGGGCCATCCACTTCACCACCTACAGCGTGAGGATGATCAACAGCGTGTGGAAGATCAACTGCATCAGGATGATCAGCAGCGCAATGATGATCTACAGCGAGAGGACGATCTACAGCGTGTGGAAGATCAACCACATGAGGATGATCAGCAGCGTAAGGACGTCCTTCAGCGTGTGGACGATCAACAGCGTGAGGATGATCTACATCGTGAGGATGATCAACAGAGTGATGCCAAACGGCAGCCTGAAGACGATCAACAGCGTGTGGACGATCAGCAGCGAGAGGACGCCCAACAGCGAGAGTATGTTCAACAGCGTGTGGGAGATCTACGGCGTAAGGATGATCAACAGCGAGATGATCTTCAACAGCGACAGGATCATCAACCGCGTGTGGACGACCTACAGCGTGAAGACGAACAACAGCGTGAGCACGATCAACAGCGCAAGGACGATCAACAGGGAGAGGACGATCAGCATCGTCCGAGTGACGTACATCGGCCAGGCGAGCAGCAGCGTGAGGACGAGCAGCAGCGAGGGGATGTGCAACAACGTGTGGACGATCAACAGGGCGAGGACGATCAACAGGGTGAGGGCGATCCACAAGGTGAGGGCGATCAACAGGAGGATGTCGAGAGGTATAAGGATTTTGTCTACAAGATGAGTGCGACAGTCTGCTATGATGAATGGTGGTGCGATAGGTCTTCGATATCTGGAACGCTTAGGGAGCTGGGGCTCGTCTTCTCTGAGATTCGCTTGCAGACCGTCCTGGACAGCTACGAGGCACAGGGGCTGCCTATGACTGACCTCGCAGAGGTGGCGGCAGCTGCTGGACTCTTCCCGAAAGAACATGTTGCATGGATTCGTCGCGCCGGACATGATCTGAGAGCTGCTTGTAGTGAGTGATCTGGTTGGGCAGGGCTTGCATGTGTCAGAGTTGGTTTAGTTTCGTGCTGGTCGACCTCGACTCTTACAGCACGCCACCACCACCACCACCTCCTCCTCCTCCTCCTCCTCCTCCTCCTTCTCCTCCTCCTCCTCCTCCTCCTCCTTGGCGTGCTTGCGCGCCTCTCCGTGGCGTGGCCATTTGCCGCTGCTCCGCCCCGTGTCGGCGCGCCTCCTCGAGGCGGCGGCGCCGGCGCGGGTGCTCTCGGCTGGAACGCCCTCGGGTGGCCCTCCTGATGGGTCCCGGGCCAACGGGGAGCGGCACGCGGCACGGAGTTCGCACGAGAGGTGAAATCGACACAGCCTCTGGCGACTCTCCAGAGCAGAGATCGACGCGGTCACGCGGCATGGAATTCGCACGAGAGATGAGGTCGACACAGCCTCTGGTAACCCTCCAGAGCAGAGATCAACGTGGTGTATGGCACCAGAGCCGCCGACGTCACGGCAGAAATCTGCTGTGTTCAGTGTGCGCATTTTTCGCTGTGGTCTCGGACTCGACGGGCCTTTGTCCACACTTGCGCAGGGCAGAATTTTCGGAAGCGGCTTGCTCCTCATCCTTTTTTCAAGCAGATTCGACGCGTGCCAAGTGGCCTAGATGCCCTTGAATCGTGAAGGAGGAACTAGGAGTGACGTCGACGAATGTCTTGCCATTGCGAACTGTCATCGGAGTGGTCGCCGCCGCCAGGTCACAGGGCGTTCTGATGCCATTCCTGCTCCGCAACTGTTTCCCCCTTCCCACCACCCGTATCTCCTGCCTTTTGTCTTGCTTGCACTGCACCCTCCTTTCCCAGTCCCTTCCTCCCTCTCTGCCCTTCCTGGTGCGAGGACCATCGAAGCCCACACGGAGGACGTGACTGCCGTGCAGGCGTGCGGCCGAGTGCGAGAGGAAGTGAGGGAGAAGGCGACGTTGAGGAGGAGGGTGGTTTTGAGGAGGAGGAGGAGGAGGAGGAGGAGGAGGAGGAGGAGGAGGAGGAGGAGGAGGAGGAGGAGGAGGAGGAGGAATGGCGGATGAGTAGGAAGAAGGATGCATAGCAGGAACATTGAGGATGGATGTGGGAGACTAGATGGACGCAGGGAGGGGGAGGGAGTCAAAGGTCGTTTACAGAGTGCTTTCAACGGTGCAAGGCCACTCGGGCTGTCGCGCGTTCCTGTCTGCCATAGGGACGGCAAGAGGCTAGAAGGTGTGGTGAGATCTTTGTTGGGATCTGGGAGTTGTGCGTGGACGGGGCCTGAGAGCGATTCCCAGTGGCGGAAGGGTCCACGATCTCGAGTTAGCGAGGGGGTGTGATTATGTCCCAGTGCATGGTCGCAGAACAGGAGCGTGACACATTTTGGGAGGGTGTGGGTGAGGAGGAGGAAATTGGAGGAAGAGAAGAGCTGAAGAGGGAGGAGTCAGGGCAGGAGGAGACCGAGGCTCGCCGAGGCTGAGAGGTAGGATGAAGGGAGGCGGAAGGATGAGGGGGCGGAGGAGGAATGATGTGGAGACGCCAGAGCAGAATGAGGGGGAGGAGATGGAGGGAGACGAGGCAGTTGTGTGCGAAGCGGGGATAATGAGTGACAGGGGGATGAAAAGGGGTATGGGGGTGGATGATTGGCGACTATTGTAAAGTCCGTACGGCTGGATTCGCCGACCTTGAGAAGTGAACAGCTTGGGCGCAAAAGCCGGAATGGGCATTGGGGACATGGACAAGTGGCTGTGGCGACTTTGATGCGAGAGCGAGAATCGAAGACGCCTTTCTTTTGGGAACGCTTGTGGACCAAAAAGGCTTCCTGGAGGTCCTCTTGGAGCCCTCTTGAGGAGTGTTTGGGGCCTCTTCGGCCGTCTTGCGCACATCTCGGGCCCTCCCGTGGCCAACCTGGGCCGTCTTGGAGGCATCCTGGACCCTCCTGGGGCCCTCCTGGCCGTCTTGGAGGCATTTTGAGACCATCCTCGAGGCCATCTCGGAGCCATCCCGGAGCAAACAGCCCACGGGATGTTGCCTCTGCGCGGGCCCAGCGGCCGGGGCCTGCGGCCCCCGGGAGCCGCCTGGAAGGGCCGCAGAGAGTCAGGACAGGTGGCACGCCGCCACTCCTCCGCAGGCTGCGGAGGCGGCGGCTCTGAGGGTCTTCGGCCCGTCCCGGCACTCGGCGGCGAGCGACGGGGGGGAAGTGAGAAGGGCAAGGCCCTCTCGGGCGGCGACAGGACTTCTCAGAAGCTCCAGGCCTCCTAGATGGGGTCCGAGCAGACGGGGTCGGAGGATCGCGCCGTGTCGTCGATGCATCAGCGATGCGGCTCGATGTGGAGCTCGAGTTTCTCCACGCTGGCGTCGTCCATGCATTGCCGATGCATTGCGATGCGGTGCCATCTACTCCGACCCCATCTAGGAGGCCTCTAGAAGCCCTCGCGCCTTCTGAGAAGTTTTCTGTGTCTTCGGGGAAGGCTCAGACAACTTCTCAGAAGGCCGTGGGACTTCCGAGCCTTATGAGGCGGCCCGCTCCTTCTCACTCTCCCGCCGGGCTCGACGCCGAAACACCGCGCATGGGTCGCGTTCCAGAGGCCCTGCGGACATTTTGGGGGTCCTCGGGGCGCTTTCTTGGGGAGCTCCTGGGGGCCCCTGCGGCCCACGGTTGTGCGTCTTGGGGCCTCTATTGGCGACTCTTGTGGGACACTCCCGTTGGTCCTGGGATCATGCCGGAGGGGTTGGCTTCCCGCGGTGTGGCGGTGGCGCGCTTCGGCCTCTTGGGGCTGCCTTGGCGGCCTATTGAGCCTCTCTTGGGGGCATCTTGGGCTGTTTTGAGCCAGTCTTGGGGGTCTCGTGTGGGGCGCGTCTTCCACTCCCTTTCGCCTCTCCTCAGGCAGCCTCCTCGGCTCCTGGGATTCGGCGCCTGGCGCCAGCAGGGGCCAACGCGGAGAGCCGCCCGCGCGGGCGGCGTCGACTGGGTCGGCGTGGACCAGCCGGCGCTGGCCGCGCTGATCAAGCTGCGGCTCGCGCAGTCCGCGGACTGTGGTTGCAGCCAGCTCAGCCAGCTCAGCTTCAGCCAGCTGCCCACCCGGCGGTAGGTTCTGATCCCGCGCTCGGTCGCTGTATAATTAGGTTCGCGCGTAGCCCGCTCGACCTTTTCGGACGCCTCCTGCGCTTTCGCTTGCGGCCGCGACAAAAAGACGTCCGTGGTCGTCGAGCACGAGTTCAACGTCACGTATTTTGAGGTGGATCCGGATCACTGCGGCGTCACGTGCGTGCAGGGCGTCCACGGCATGCTGCCAGGGCCAGAGGTGCGCGTGAAGCGTTACGACCGTCTGAGAGTGACCGTCAACAGCCAGCTTGGGACTGGACCTGTCCGTCCAGTGGCACGGCTTCGAGATGCGCAGGGCTCAGGAGTACTACAGCGCGATTGGTCTCACGCAATGCGGCGTCCGCCCAGGCACCTCATTCACGTACGATTTTGTGGTCGGCGACCAACCAGGGACTCATCAATACCATGAGCATGCTCACCTGCTACACGTCGCGGCGCGTGGAATGTTCGGGTCCTTGATCGTGGAGCCGGAAGAGGGGGAATCCGAGCCATGGCAGTACGACAACGAGGCCACGCTGATGCTCATGGACTCATGGATCAGCCTACCCCGGTGCTTTGAGTCGGGGATGGCTGGGGCCGTTGCAATCTTAGGGGGTTCGAGCGGATCGTTTCTCCCGAAGCCTTTCTCCGCCGCTTCGGCTGCCCGCTCTGCCCCGGCCTCCTACAGGTCGGGGGTGCCTGCGGCCGTCGCCGCAGGAGGCACTCCTCGGCGGCTGGGAGCGGATCTGGCTAGCAGGATGGCTTTTCTGGGAGACGCGGTGCGGTGCTCGGGGGCGGAAAAGAGGGAGGTGATGACTAGGGGGGGTGGTGGATATCATGGCGTGGGCCATGATATTTCCCCAGATTTCATGGCGCCTCTTCTTGTTTCATTACGTCCCTGGCCCCCCCGCTGGGCCGCGCACGCGCCGCCGGTCATGATTTGCACCCCCTCCTCTTGGACCCCCCCCTCTTGGCCGCTCCCGAGGTGCGGTGTGCCAGGTTTTGGTGATCTCGCCGTTCCCTGGCTCCATATGGCCTGCCGCCGGGCAGAAGAGCGGGGTGGAGCCCGGCGTCTCTTTTTCCCTGAGGCCCTCGCCCCGCCGTCTCCGACTGCTCCGTCTGACCAGGCTGGGGTCGTCGCGGCTGGAGCCGAGTCCAGGTTGGGATTGAGTCGGGCACGTCCCTGTACCGGAGGAGTATCAAAAACTAGTCAGAAAATAGTAAGCGGACGAGTTCTTGACAATGTTTGACCATTTTTGGTGTATGTGTTGATCTTGACCATCTCTTATTTGTCGTCCAGAATCCGCCTGTAGCGGGGCGTGCCCGAGTGGAGCTTGGGAGCGGGCCCGGCCGGTCACCGCCCGCCACGCGGGCAGGCTGCGGTGCGCCCCGTGCGGCCTGGCAGGAGGACCCCGGGGCGGAGCCATCCAGAGCTCCTTTTGCAGCCGCGCGCGGCCTGCTCGCACGCATATCGTTCCTTGCCTGGTTCGTGCCCTGGTCCTCGAAGAACTTCGTCCACGACGTCTAGTCGGACACGATCTGAGGCCACGCCCTCTGGCGCCCTGCCCGAAAGGGCACGGGCACACCTGTGTGCCCGACTCTGGCGCCCTCGCCTCGCCTCGCCTCGCCGCGCGCGGCCTGCCGGGGACCGGGTGTTCGGGTGTTTGCAGCCGCCCCGGAGGGGGG